CCCCTCCCCCTTCCGCCCGCCAGGCGCGCTGACCTGTCGCTCGAGGAGTTCAGGGAGCGGTACGAGGCCCCCAACCGCCCCGTCATCATAACCGACGCCGCGGGCCGCTGGCCGGCCGTGAAAAAGTGGACGCGGCAGCACCTGCTGCAGGCCTTCGCCGGTCGCGAGGTGCGCCGAAGCCGCAGTCACCGCCGCCGCTGCCGCCGCCGCCGCCGCCGCCGCCGTCCCCGTCGAGTTCGCCGCCTTGGATCCGCGCCGGGGGCCCCGCCGCGGGGCACCCTCATCTCTTCCCTGTCGCCTCCGGCCGGCCCCGCCGCCAGTCTCAGGGCCCGCTGTTGCCCAGCCTTGCGCGCTGGCGCCGGCCCCTGTGCTAGATGCACCAACGCAGCGCCGGCCGCTCCCCGCTCAACCCCGTCTGAGCAACCAAATCGCTCCAACTGGGAACGGGACCAGGTGATTGTGGGCAACGCGGCGATGCGGCTGGCGCCGTACTTGGCTTATGCAGACAACAACACGGATGAGATGCCGCTCTACATGTTCGACAAGGTGAGTGGGGGTCGGGGGCTGCAGCTGCCCACGGGCGATTCCTCCTCCTCGCCACCCCGTTGCGTGCCGCTGACGGCCGATGTTGTTCCTGGTGGCGGGACGTATGATGATGTGGCTGGGCAATGCACCTCTGTACGCGTGCGCACGCACACACACACACACACACACATACACACGCACACACACACACACACACACGCGCGCACGCGCGTGCGCGCACACACACACACACACACACACACACACACGCACGCACGCACGCACGCACGCACGCGCACTACACACACACACAGACACCACGCACACACACCATCGTCCCCAGGCCTTCGCCCTCGCCGCCCCCCAGCTGGCGCGCGACTACTCGGTACCTTCCTATTTCTCTGATGACCTCTTTGAGCTCTTAGGAGAGGAGGGGCGCCCCGACTACCGCTGGCTCATCATAGGGCCGCGGCGCAGCGGCAGCTCATTCCACGTGGACCCCAACGCCACGAGCGCCTGGAACGCAGGTGAGGGGGTGGCGGACGGGAGGGGCTGGGAGAGGGGCACACACACGCACACACACGCACACATGCACACACATGCGCACGCACACACACACACACACACATGTTTGTGTGTGTGTGTGTGTGTGTGTGTTTGTGTTGGCATCATGCCCCCCTTTTTCACTTGAAGGCAACCAACGTCTCCACCTGTTGTCTGGCATTGCTTGTGCCACCACGTCGCCGGCGCCGCGTCAGCATCCCCCCTGCCCCCACCTGACGCCTCCTTGCCTTCCACCCAACGCCGGCCTACCCATCGCCCCGCGCGCCTCTCCTGCCGCCGCGGCAGTTATCACCGGCGCCAAAAAGTGGATCCTTTACCCGCCAGGTGATCTCTCAATGGGTTGTTGAACCCGTGGGCAGGCCTTTGCTAGGGGGGCACGCGCGGCTGCACGGGGGGTGTGGCGCGCGGCTGCCCGGCACCTTCCCAGGGCCGACTTGCAGCCGAGAGGCGGAGCACGCCCAGACCCGATTCGCAAGCCGAAACGTTGCGTGCGTGCCTAATTAAACCGCGAGCGTCTCGGCCTGCACCATCAGAGGGAGCCGCCTGCTGCGCGGTCGGCCTCAGCGACGCAGGCCCCTACTTCCGTCACCCCCCCCCCACTTCCCCTGCCGCCGCCCCTCCCGGCGCCCCCCACAGGCTGCACGCCGCCCGGCGTCCACGTCAGGTGAGTCGCGGCGACGGGCGCCCGGGCCGGGGGCGTCACCCG